TATTACTTTCATTTGAAAACTAATAAATTAAAAAAGATTCAAATAAATCATTGACATACTTCTCAGATTAATTTTAGGATTAACCCTTGACAAAAGAACAAAGTAGGAGATGGTCCCAAGTGTACGTACCCAGTCTGTTGTTGTTGACCCAATTTCCCACTCAATATCTCTATGCCAATACTTGTTTACTCACTCAGATCCCCAAAACAGATCTTATAACATTATTCACATCAAGATTTAATATGTTATTTCATGGTGTTCTCACTGAGAATATAGTATCAAAGATTGAAAGACTGACTCTGTGTTTATCTCTAATATCAGAATGGTAGAAGAGGTTTGGGGGCAAGACTCTTCTCTTCTGGTCCTGAGACCTCACTCTATGTGTAAACATTTATTCAGGCAGTTCTTAAAGAGGGGTTCTGCCTTGTGAGGATGGGGCACTTAGTAGATTGAGCAGATCCAGTGACTGGCATGTGCATGAAGAGGCCCAAGTACATAAAAGTTTATGGCTTAACAGGCACCAAAAGACACATTATTTCCCCAAATAGTTTCTCTCCTACCTGATCTGAACCTCCCACCAAGAGGATCAATAAAGGCAAAGGGGTCCAATAGTGACCAATTTTTTATTGATTGTTTGATGCTAACCTTAGTAAGTCAGTGCAGTGAGGACACAATAAAATTCTTCATTAAGCTTTGGAAGTCAACCCTTCCAGAGCTAAGCTTCCTAACCTACGTAAGGACTGATCACATTCATACTTTGAGAATTCCATCATACGTCTATCCCCTTAAACTCCTTCCCAGCCCATGAACCCCAGTCATCTGCTAGAATGGCTACAGAATACAGGAGATCAATCAAGGATGAGAGGTTGATTTAACATGAGCAATGGTTCTGTATCCCACTGTAATTGGTTGAATTGTGTCCCCCAAAAAGATATCTTCAGGTCCTAACCCTTAGTACCTATGAATGTGAACTTAAATGGAAATAGAGTCTTTGCAGATGTAATCAAGTTAAAATGAGGCCGGGGCGCCTGGGTGGCTCAGTTGGTTAAAATGAGGTCACACTGGATTAGAGTGTACAATGACTTGTACCCTTATAAAAAGAGGGAGATTTGGAGACACACACACACACACACACACACACACACACACACACTGGTGACAGCCCTGTGGAGAGAAGCAGAAACTGGAATGATGCAGCCATAAGGCAAGGAATGGCAAAACTTGCCAGCAACCATCAGAAGCTAGGATGTGGCAAGGAAGGAATCCTCCCTAGAATTTTCAGAAGGAGTATGGCCCAGCCAACACCTTGATTTTAAACTAGTCTCCAGAATAATGAGAAAACAAATTTCTGTTGTTTTAAGCCATCTAGTTTATGATCATTTGTTATAGTTTTAGGAAATGAATACACCCAAAATCTCAGAGTGTCACATCACCATATGTTTTGACAAGGAAACAAAGAAAAATAAACAACACCCTGGTTATAGCTATATATTCAAATACTTAAGTAACAGTACACATGACCTTGTACTTGTCTCGTGACCTTCTCCACATGCTAGTTTAAAACTCCTTCTAGGAAATAGGAAAGTATAAGTTTATTAGAAAGAATGGAGTCTAGCAAGGATGGAAACAAAGAGAAGACTCTTGGTCCTAACTTTTAAGTTATATTCAGCCTATACCGAATAAACGTATGAATGGAAATAACTTTTTAAATTTATTCTAAAACTGTTACCAAAGACACTGCCCACTATGCTACTCATTTGTTCCTTTACAGTTCTCATGTTAAAAAAAAAAGAAAAGAAAAAAAGAACTTTCAGAATGTGGCGCTGGGAAAATATGGTCATCTCTTTTTAAAAAATGGCATGTTTCATTCATTCATCAGATAATCAGAATTTCTCACCCAGTGTACTACAACAGCCTCTCAGCTGGTCTCCCTCTTTCCATTCTTAACTTCCTCCAGTCCATTCTTGCAGATTAGGCAGAACAATCCTTTTTTATGTAAATCAGACCATGTTTCTGCCCTGGACAAAACCCATCTGGGGATTCCTATCACCCTCAGAATAAAATGCAAATCCTTTCCAGGGCCTACAGGGTCCAGCATGTTCCACCCCAGGCTATCACTTTACTTCATGTCCCACCGCTCTTCCTTCTCTCGCACTACTCGTGTCACATGGGTCTCCTTGTTCCTGGTACACTCTAAGGACCACTACACGCCCTCCACTCACCCCTGCTACCTGGATGCTCTGCCTCCCACTCTTCAGCTGGCCTGCACCATGCCTTCCCTGAGGTCTCCCTCAAGTGTCACTTCCTCACAGTCCTTTCCACCCCATCTAAAAGAACACCCTCTAACTCCCTACTTAACTTGCTTCTATTTCTCTCATGGCTTTTATTCACCTCCTAATATTACTGACATTACATTATCTATTTAATTGTCGATCTTGTCATTGTCTGTGCTCCCTCATCACAGCATGGGCTCTAGGAGAGCAGGGCTTTTTGTCTGGATTGTTCACTGTTGTATCTCCGGGGCCAAGAAACAGTGTCTACTATAGAATAAGCACTTGATACATAATTTGGTGAACCAAAAAAGAAATGAATGCATTTTGTAAGTTGCTTTGTTTTATTTTTTGCCTTGGCTGACAGGAGACTTAGTAATAAATTCAATGGTGAGTCATAGTAATAAAGTAGCCTTCCTCACGAGCATATATGCTTCTTCCTTCTTTTTAAATATTCTGATGTTCTATTCCTCTTCTAATCACCTCATACCCCCTTCATCATAAAACATTTTCAATCTTTCGTAATGGGACACAAAGGCCCCAGTAGGCAGGTAGGGTGGGTGCCAGGTTGGGTGCGTGGCAGGCAACCCCGCAGTAAGTGGGAGAGGGTGTATGTGTTCATCAGCAGTAATGCTTGAATGTGACACGAAACAGCCCTCAGGCCACAAACCCAAACCTTTGGCTGCCTGGAGAGAGCCAGATGAGAATGAGCCAATGGGTCTAGCAGAGCCAGTGAAGGAGGGAAGCAAATTTTACCTTTTCATTCCTGCAGTTGTTCAGCCCCATATTATTCACGGAGGACAGTTTCCCATCCACACCATGCGGCTGGTGCTGCTGTTGTTCCCGCTGGATCTGTTCGCGCATCTTCCGAGCCTCCTGAATGGCTTTCATCACTGTGTCCTGATCGCCAAACAGGGCGGGGGAGTTGAGACTGGACAGGATATCTGCATACACAGGATGCATCATCAGAAGTTTACGAGGCTAGATGCTAACAAAATACTGCCACTATCCACTCCCCTGTAGAATGCTGCCTTCTCCGAACAAGAAAGGGGCGTGTTTGCTCTTCGGAAAACTGCAGGACTCTACATAGAGCCCCAGGAAACCAGGATGTGCTGGCCTCTTAGCCGATGGAGGATAGCCCAGCATGCCAGTTAATCGGGGCCCTGTCCCCTTACCTCCTCACAGGGGAAGGTTCTGAGATTCCAGTTGCCAACTCTGTGTGTGTGTGTGTGTGTGTGTGTGTGTGTTCTGGTGAGATCCAACAATTAGTGGGGGAGTAGTAGGCAAGAAGGGGGTAAGGAGAGGTACAGAGATACCTGTGATACTGGGTATACTAATACAGGAAAGCTGTTTCTGGCCTACCAGAAAAAATTCTGTGTACTACGGCGACATCTTTATCTGTGTGTTCATATGTCCACTGCAGGAGAGAGGGGGCGGGAAGGAATACACTGCACTCTGCATTCCCCAATCACTGGCTGGTTAATGAAGCGTTCTACTCATCATGCTGCCTCAGTTATTTACCAAGAGAATGACAACCCATTCCCTACCCCCAGCTGAACACCTACGGCTCTCAGCTCCCTGTCTTCCTGATAGGGAGGCTATATGTGTGGGAATGGTTTTCACGTCGGTACAAAGCTTCAAATAAAGTGAGAATAAATATTTATTTTCGTTATATTCTATACAACTCAGAGGGAAAAAAATAAAATTAAGCTAACCAATTCTCTTCCATATCTTGCATTTTACTGTAGGTTAAAATTAATACTTTACATAAGCTTTTCCCATTTTTAGACTGAAAGAAGGCAATTGCTTGCTGAGTGATCGATTTCAGCTCCTGTGGTAAAGTTTAATGTGATCCATTTATTTGTATGCTGGTATGAACATTTCATGGCACATGTATGTGTATGCACACACATACACCTCAGATAGACAGGACAGAGGAAACCAGGCTAGAGTAAAGTCCACACCATGCATGTGTGTGTGTGTGTGTGTGTGTGTGTGTGTGCAGTGCACGTGCATATGCATGAGCTCAGAAAGAATTACCAAGGCTTTCTACAGTAAGTTGTTTAACAGTCAAACAATCGCTTCTTAGGATATAGAAAACCTCTTAGCTTTTGCTCTGGAGCTGTTCTGATAAAAACCAAACAACATTTCTATCCAATACTGTCTGGACAAAACTGTGATTGCTTTAGCCCATTTCTAGCTTATGATCTAAGAAACATGCTCTGCTCAAGTATATACTCCATAAGAGCAGGACCTGTGAGTTGTCATCTTTGTCCCTCATGATGCCCAGTATAGCAAATACTTTCCAAACAAAATTCAGAACTGGATAATGAGAAGGCCAATAAAGCCATTTCAAGATCAAGCCTATTATTTATCCTTAAGTTGGCTTTTTTTTTCTTATCTCACAACTTCCAACAATCTAGCAACCATATTCACATACTGGAAATGATTCACTTCTCTCTCCCACACGAATATCACTGACTTGGAGTGAAAACCTCCTGGCCCCCTGCAGAGGCATCCAGACTCAAAATGAGAATAGGCTGCTGTATGGATCCTAATGTCCCAAATTTTAACGAGGAAGAGGTATATCTCACCATCAGAAGATTCACTTAAACCCAACACAGTGCAGCAAATACTCCAACTGTGAGTTCATAAAAGAGAGCCCCAAGTTTATATAACCTAGGCAAGAGGACCCAGATTGTAGTCTTGGCTTTACTTATTAATAGCTACATGGCATTGGGCCAGCCATTTTACCTGTAAGAATCATTTTACTTCATCATATGATGAGGGTAATAATGCACTACGTCATAAGATGATCGTGAAAAATCAAATGAGATAAGATAGGCAAAAATGCTTTTCAACTGTAAATGGCTACACTTATATACTATTTTGTTTATTATAATAAGCATTTCAGGCTCCGGGACTCAATAAGGCAAGGAAGGTAATGTGGTGAAGAAACATAGTTCTAAGTCCCCAATCCCTTCTTATCTCTGTGTCTTATATGAAAATTAAGAGGCTTAGTAACAACATGTTAATACTTATTTGGCACTCTGCTACTGACAAATGCTTTCACATTTATTGTTCTATTCCACATGTATATGTAAATGTGGTGATATTGGTTCAGTCTAGTTTTTTAAAAAATTATATGCCTTCTAGGTGCCAGAGACTGTGTTAAGCATTTTATATGCATTTTTCTCTCCGGATTCTCATAATAACCTATGAGCTAGGTAATAATATTCCCCTCTAAGAGATTAGGAAACTGAGTTCAAAGATATTAAATAACTTTCCCAGGGTCACCTAGCGAGTATGTGAAGGCTCTGAGTCCAAGTCTGTCTGATGCCAAAACCCATGTTTTCCCTCTTTACTTCTCATTAGGGTATGAATGTCCCTAGAGATACTTGGCAATATCTCAGAGAGTGTAAGAAGCCCGAAGATCATTATGACATATCTTATCAGATATCAATTTTATTTCATACTATGTCATTGAAGTGTGTCATTCACATTTGTTTTAATGCAAAACTAATATGGGATAAGATGTAAAATTCACATACATTTTAAAAAGAAAATATAAAACTTCGAAGAAATTTTGGACTTTTGGCAGGCAGCTTGGAGGCCAGGTCCCTTTAGCCCCTTGGAGTCTCTTGTCCGCCTAGAGTTACTTCAGTGACAAAGCATTAACCGAACACAGAAATCCCCAAGTCTCTGATTTGCTGGATCTAACTCAGCAGTCTCTAAAGAATCCATCCCAGCAGGATTTATATTACGACCTTTTCCAAAAGTTCTAACCACCCAAGACACCAAAAGGAGTTTTGTTTCAGTAGAAAGGATTTTACTTTTACTTTTTTTTTTTCCCCTTGGACTAAGGAACACTTTGGAAACAGGGATCAGTCATCACTGGACAGGTTTGCTTTCTTTTACCTAATTCATAAATCTCTTCCTGTTGGTGACCTTTCCATTTACCTAAAGAGGATCCTCTTCCCAAGCTTCCTCCAACAGGGCTGGGGATGCCGCTTTTGTTGGGCAGATGGACGGGGCTGGTTTTGCCGGCTGGGAAGAGGCTCTGGGCGGGAGATGTCGGGGCCCTCACAGGCTCGGCCGTCTTGGGTCTGGAAGAGAGATTTAGCGGCTGTGCTGCTGCTTCATCCTACAAGAGTTCAACATAAATCATTATTAAAGAAAAAAAGACAAATGAAGCACATTATCACTTAGTAAGCCACAGTTATTTTACACCTCAGAGACAATGCCACATTCTCCTACAATAATAACAAAAGAAGCTAATTATCTACCTCCTTGAAGATTCATCGGAAGGAAACCTCATTAATTTCCCTGTGTTATGCTTCTATTTACATTAACTGTGTAGTTGGATCATTCTTTTTGCCAAATTAAAATCTGAATTAGCTCACATTATAGCTTAATTTCCTAATGTGTTTTCAAGGATCTAAATTAACCTAGGGCATTTACAAAGAATTATTTAAAATTTCAGTAGCTCTGTAGTGCTTTTGTGTTATTCTCTCTGAAAAGTTCCTGCAACTATAAATAGGCTCTGCAGCTAATTTTTTAATATATATTTTAAATCAAACAATTGCAAGTACTTTAAAAATGGAAACACCGGCTTCTTCTGCTCTCCTGGGCCTCTGCCCAGGGAGCCACATGCCACAGCACGGTTTCTATGTGGCTTTCTGGGTGTGGACACTCCTCATGGCCTATATTCTGGTCTCTATTCAGGTTTAAAATTAATTTTTGCAAAGAGCAAGCACACATTATAATTATGTTTTACATACCATGCTATATGTAATTTATTTTTCGTGTCTAAAGTGATGTCTCTTTATAAAATTCTTTGCTGTGTATATTTACAGAATGTTTATTTTAAGATGTCTGTTCTTCTACACTGGGCACAGTATTCAAGTATCTGACTTGTAACTCTAGTGTAAGCAGGAGCTTGAAAGCTAAACTCCTTGCCTTTATTCTGTCTCATGTATCCTGTCATTAAACACATATAACAACATGCCCATTGTTTTAGAAATTAAGTTGTAATATAAACATATTCATTTAAATGTTCAGCTTTAAGATCTATATTATTGTGTTCTACAATAAAATCGTCAGCAAGTGTTAATTTCTCTTTTGCTTCTGAGAAGGCATGGAGAACTTTTTCAATGTCATTTTTTAAAACACAATAGAGCTTGGAAACAGAACATCCTCCTCCCCTTTGGGAAGAGAGCCTGATCCTACCTGATCTCTAAGGTCTCCCCTAGTATCATGGTCATTGTTTAAGGGGGGACAAAAAGAGATGCCAGAAAAGGCTACTCAGGAGAATGATCAGAAAGAGAAAATAGAAACAACACGCACAGAGAAGCCAGTATATACACCAAGGACTCTGCTAGACATTTTCACGTATATTAGCTCATTTAACTAGCAGTAAGTCTATGAGGTTGGGCAGTATTATTCTAAATTCACAAAGAAGGAAGGGTCAGAGTGATAAAATCATTGTTCAAAGCCATACATGGAAGGACAACATGTGAATTCTAGTTTACTGGACTCCAAATCCCAGGTCCCTTTTCTATTAAACTATCAGAGAAAATAAGTCATTTGATAATGTAGTGAATTTTTTTTTCTTGGTAGGAAATAGATAATCTGGCACATCTCTGTTGCAATGTACATTTGTCTATATCTAGACATAGGAGGGGGTCTCAGGAAACACGACTGCATCATTATGCATGTCAAAAATGTCTTCCGAGGGGCTCCTCGGTGGCTCAGTCATTAAGCGTCTGCCTCTGGCTCAGGTCATGATCCCAGGGTCCTGGGATTGAGGCCCGCATCAGGCTCCCTGCTCCACAGGAAGCCTGCTTCTCCCTCTCCCACTCCCCCTGCTTGTGTTCCCTCTCTCGCTGTGTCTCTCTGTCAAATAAATAAATAAATAAATCTTTAAAAAAAAATGTCTTCCATGCTTGATTACAATTTACTTCTCTTTACTCTGCACTCAAAGGATATTTAGACTAATTTGTTCCTTTACTCCTATCTAAATAACAGTGATTTATAAGCTAGGTATATAGTTTTCTCCATGTTTCTTTTATTTGGGGTTCACTGACCTTCTTAGGTATCTGAGTTCAGACTGTTCTTCAAAGTTGGAAAATTTTCAGCCATTACTTCTTCAAATATATTTTTCTGTTCCTTCCTGTTCCTTCTGAGGCTCTGGGTGCATACATTAGGCCAATTGATGTCCCACAGCACTGACAGGCTTCTTTCTATGTACTTCATTTTGGATAGCTCCATCATTCTGTCATCAAGTTCACTAATCTTTCCTTCTCTGATGTCTAATCCCATCAGTACTAGTCCAGTATACTTTTCAACTCAAAAACTATATTTCTCATCTCCAGACATTCCATGGGTGTGTTCCACGTCTTGCCTTATAATGCTCATGTTTTCCTCTATCTTCTTAAATATATGGAGCTTATAGCATCTATTTTTTTCAGCTTTGACTATACCCCAATTATTTATTTTTATAATTCAATGATTGCCACTTCTGCCAACAATGCCACTGGGCATGGGAAGCATCTACCAACTCCCAATCAAGTAAATTCTTTTTCACCATGGCAGTCCCGATATTGGTTCTCACAGCATGCCCTGGCCTGAAAGAAATTTCGTGGGTGTTTTTTAGGAGGAAGATTTGCCTACCTCTTCATTTGGCTATAGTTGGCTGACCCTGTAGTAGCTGTTTTTACTGTCTTAACTACTAATTCTATCATCTGTGCCATTTTGGGGTCTGTTTCTATTGATTGACTTTTCTCCTCATTATTGTTCATATTCTCTTGCTTCTACAAAAGCCTGGTAATTATTGAACGGATGCTATACACTATGAATTTTTACATTGCTGGGTGTTGGAGTTCAAATATTTGTGGACTTTCTTCTGAGACACAGAAAAATTTGGTCCTTTCTAGGCTTGCTTTTAAGCTTGTGAGGTAGGTTCAGAGAAGTCATTAATCTAGGGGTAATTTGACCCCATTACTGAGGTAACACCCTTTGGGCAACACTACTTGATACCCCGTATGTCAGGAGATCTTTCCACTCTGGCTAATGGGAATACAAACCACTCTCAGTCTTTTGTGAACCTTGCAATTGCTTTGCCTGCTACATTTGGTATTCTCCCCTGGCCTCAGAGAGTTTCCTCATATGCATATGCTGATGAATATTCAGCTAAATACAGGGGAATCTTCTACAGATTTTCAGTACTCTCTCTCAGTGTGCAGCCCCCTCCTCTCTGGTACTCTACCTCACAAATTCTGCCTACCTTGGCATCCCAAAACTCTGAACTCTATGTCTCTACTCAGGGAGCCTGCCATGTTCAATGTGGATAGCCCTACTTGCCCTCTGACCTAGAAACTACCTCTAGACAGTAAGCTGGAATAATCGTAGGACTTGCCTCACTTGTTTCTCTTTTCTCAGGAATCACTGTTCTATATTCCTATTGCAAATGTCTGAGAATCATTGTTTTATATATTTTGTCCTATGTTTCAGTTGCTTAAGCTGGGAGACTAAATCTGATCCCAGTTCCTCCACTGTAGCTGAACATGGAAATCCTCTAGGTATTCAGTTAGGCTCTCTCTTGGTATACAACTGGATATTTCCATTACAACCACTACCACCAACACCACCATCATCTTCTTTATTACCATCAGATCACCATCATCACAGTCACTATACTTACATTTATGGAGTGAATACTCACTATCTGCTAGAGGATTTAAGACTCATAATATTAACTCCCATTTTTCAGAGCAGAAAACTAAGGCTGAAAGAAGTTAAGTAACTTGCCCTAAGTGACACAGATGGTAAAAGTGGTAGAACTGAAATTTGAACAACAACAACAAAAACCATTCTAAGTTCTGATGTTGATAATTATAGTAGATAAAAATTCTGAGGGAAAGAAGGTATATAAGACCATCTATGTTTAATTTTGTTACCTTCAGCAAGCTATGCCCTATGTCATGTGGTCACGTTATATACAGAGGAAAGCAATGATTATAGACAGAATCATATTTTAGTGACCATAATCCTTTCAATTACCAATTCATGAGATTACTCTCAGAACTTCTTCAATAATAGGTAGCAGTTATTTTTTTTTATTTAAAACATTTGCTTTATGTCTCGATCTATATATTTTTACCCACACATACAACAAACAATCTAATAAGTATAAAGAATGTTTCCTTTGTTATTAACATAAAATATGGTCAAGTCAAATTATATAGAGAACTGCCTAAGAATTTGCATGTGGTCAAGTGAGTAATAAAACTCAGTTGGCCCACAAAGCTGGAACGGTAAAAGCAGATATAAACTTGAATTTAACCAGGGAACATTTTACTCATCTAGTAAAGGCTTGGTTTGGTGCAGTTCCATTTGGCCAAGTCACTTATAAAATGACTTTTTCATGTTAAATATCTAATATTCAATACCTCAAGTCAATAATGTTTGATATGTCCATATTCTAACAACTATAATTAAACAAAGTGCTTTGGTTTGACTTGTAGTGTTCTGACTCTTACTCACAAACAGAAACTCTTGGAACACAAAATAGATAGCCTGTTTCCATAAGTCATGCTACCTTATTAAATGTAAGCTGCCTATTGTCATACCTCAAAATTTCTAACAACAAAGCATAAACGTTCATCTATTTCTTTGGAGAATTTAAAGCATGGCGGCATTAAGTTAATTCCTATCTGCACATTATAGAAAATAAAACAATTTCAGTGGTTTTGCAGCATTTGATGCTGTTTTGTTGGCCTTAGATGTTTCCCTTATGAAAATTTAATACCTGCAAATTTTCTCCAAATGTAGTACTTTGGGCACATTACAGTAATACCTCTGTGCTTAGACTATCCCTCTAAGTAGGTAAGTCAATGATACAAAACAATTGTTTCTCTGAACTATATTATAAAAACCAACCAGTACCACCTGTAGGTACCAGCTGCAGCACAAAGTTGGAGAATATCATCCATTTCCCTCTGTCACCAAATACCTCCTAGGTGCCATGTTTTAAGGCACTGAAAATTAGTGAGAAGAGGCATCTACCAATGTCCCAGCCATAATTTGGAAGAGCCTGTTTGTCCTCGCACAACTACCTGGCATCAAAGAATGAATAGATAATGACACCGCTCATTCCTCAGAGCCCACATTAACTATTCTTGAAGGAGAGACCTTTATCAACAAACCATATGAAGTTCAGCAGTAGATTCTTTTCTGTCCCCCCTTTTTTTTAAATCTAAAGTTTTGAGAACCTCCTTTTCTGGTACTATAAGTTGGCTCCCACCTGTTTAAGGAACTTCGAGAGAAAGTGTCACAAGTCCATGACAAAGACTGGAAATAAAACCGTGGCCACTCATGCCAGTGAACATTAAAAAATAAAAGCCAGAATCCAAAGGGGAAAAGCTCCTGAGAAGTGAATCTGCAGATTTAGGTAAAGATCTCACAATATGGCACTATTGTCATCAAAAGGGAAACACCTGTTTCTCAGTGCTCAATCATGAAATTTACCATAAAGAGGAGCATTTGGGGTTCCTTTATGCTGCTATGCTTCCCGCAGTTTATTCCCACCCCAGCCTGGCTCGCTACTTTTCTTGTGAAGCTGTTTTCCAAACTGTTTTCACAATCCTGCAAAGCAAGTACCTTAACTTGAGTTACAGGGCTGCTCCCTCTCTTTTCATTTTTTATCCCGGTAGGTGAGACTGCCCCTGCTGGGTTTGGTGGCTGCGGAGCTGATGGCATCTTTGCTCCAGGTGACACCTGCATGCTGGCCAGCTGAGCGGCATAGAGCTGCTGCAAAACAGAGAAGACAAACATTATCTTTTTAAAGGCAGCTGAAATTGAGTTTCGCAAAAAACAAAACAAAAAACTTACCGTATTGTTAGATAACTATTTCTCTGACAGCCCTACAATTTCTCTTTCACTATTTTTTAAAGAGGAAATAAGAGAGACCAAATAATATAAAGAAAGGGTACTAGCATGAGAGCCATTGTCCTGGTCGTGGTCCTTCTAGCAATAACTCTATGAACCTGAACAAAGGGTTTGAGTGCTCTAGAACTCAGTTTCTTCGGTACAAAAAGGAATTTGACTAAATGGTTTCTATGATTCATTCTAGTGCCTAAAATTGTTATAAAAAGTTCTTCAAATGTCAGTATGTCCATTCAGGTAATTTTAATATTCATGAAATAACTAACTAATCTGAACTTTCCTAGGGATTCCTGGAAGAACATTGTTCTTATTCAATACTGACCAAGCTTCTCTTGGGGATGCTGATCCTTCTGGATGATAAGAATGCTGCCCTCAAGATCCCCGAGGCTCAACAGCAGTCACTGTTTTCTTGAGGTCTTATTTCTAGGTAGCGTATAACATAATCCTCAAGAGAATATAGCCAGATTCTTGACCAAAAAATGAAATGAAATGGAATGAAATGAAATGAAATAAAATAAAATAAAGCTTCTTTTTTCCTAGCACAGGATGTTAAATCCTTAACTGTTGATTTATTAGCTTTTGGGTGAAATTGGTAATAAATGAATGTGTTAATCTGCTATGGTTAACCAGAATTCAGATACCTCAATCTTCACACTATTTAATGCTTAGAAACTCCATTCAAATATTTTCTTTTCTTCTTATAATCAAGATTAAGCCATTACCTTGATAGTCATATTTCTATCATAATAAATAGAAAGCTTCCTAGTTCATCAACCACAGAGAAAATAGCTCAAACTTTGCCATATTAGTAAGGGAAAAAAACAGGTGGTTTGTATGTAATTTCCAGCTTTACTATCATTCAGATGGACAAATAAAAAAAATTAACAGTAATCAAAAACAGACCTTTCAGCACATGTAATTAAATGAAAGCTTAATAAAGAATAATTTGCAAGAGCCAGATGTGCTTATGTCATGATTGTTGCTTTCTTTGGAACAATTTTTCTAATATAACAAACCTCTAAAGAAATTAAAGTTTCATAATTCTGTATGTGCAATGACTCAGTGGCAAGAAAAATTCACAAGTAAGAATCGGTCAAACTGCTAGAACTTGGGGAGAAAAGGCTACCAGAATCTTCTGTTTTCTTTTTACTCTGTGGTATCCTTTTCCTTTGAAATTTACCCAGGTATCTCCAAAGGGGGGGCAAGTGAAGCTTCTGAAATTTTTCTGCTTGGATAAAACCACTGAAGAAAAGTTTTATACTGAATGGAGTGATGATGGCTGAGAGCTGAAAAAGCGTGGGCCACACAGTATCTGGCGTTGTGACCAATATGCCCTCCTACTGAGTATTAAAGAGTCATGAAATCTTAGAGAGGCAAAAGTCCTTAGGTATCATTTATGCCTTCATTTTCCCTCAATAATTCTCAAGATCAGAAGAAAGTCAATTTTACTCAATTTTGACTCCTCCAGGGAACTTCAACTAGGGAAAACACAGAAAAACAAATCCTTGGGAACGAATCTGTTTTTAAAAAAGCTGACTAAATTCAGAAAGCCTTCAGACTGAACAATACAGTCATTTTTTGCTTTTTAGAAATAATATTAATTGCTTCCTCTAAAGCTTTGAAAACCATTTATTTCATATCCCTTTCTAGTGGTTTGTACCTAAGAGAGGAAAGACTCCAGAAATACTGAGATCCCTCAGAGTTCCCTGTGAGCTGTGATCACTGTTCATGGCAAGAAGCAGCATCGCCACATACCATAACACTTACAGAGCTGGGCCAACTGGACAGTAGGGTATCAGATAAGATGGAGTAGAATAAGCCTTGAACTAAAAATCAGATAATAGAGCCCAATATAAACATAGAAGGCGCTCACAAAGGTAAAAATTGACACATCCTATCTAACAAAATATATAATTTTAGATGTAAGTACCATGCTTTTCAGACTAAAGACTTCAGATCTGACCTAGATAAAAAGAATGCCATTCACTGAATAGGTGCAGGTTTACCAAACGATTTCACAGACAGCTCATCTTCTAAGCTAACATTAATTGAATATATTCTATACGCAAGTCTCTGTGTTAGAAACTGTGGAGGAATCAAAGTCTTGGAACAAGCACATAGCTTTGGAGAAGATGTAAGATATAGATCCTGAACACTTGATGTGCACCTTTTTTGTGGTGCCTATCACTTTTTTTAAACCCGTGTTTAGTTGCACACATATGTCTTATCATGCTGGATAGACCACAAGCTTATTGAAGTCATGATCCACCTGATTATTTGAATGCCTAGCAGCAAGAATAGTGCCTTGCAAATAAAAGATAACAAATCAATATTTTCTGAATTAACATACTATATAAAATCACTGGATGTTAGGAAGGAGAGATATTCTCTATAAATGAGGCAACAGAAGTGGTATATGAAGATATTTATCGTATATAATGAATAATTTTATGCTCCTGAGTTAAAAAAAAAAAAGGAAAATAAACCCAGCCCAAATTAAATCACACTGTTTCACAAGAAATTAATCTTTTGAAGTCATTTGTTAAAATGTTAACTAGAAAGCTTTTCAATAACTGCTAGCTTCAGTCACCTGTCTAAAACTTTTCTGACACAAATTCTACTGTTGAGTAGCAACTGAGGGGTAGTACCAATTTTTCTTCTCAGCCTAGTTACTTATTTAGTTTCTCTAAATGCTACTGCATCCTTTTTTGGAAGAACATAAAATATGAATTATTCAAATAAATAGCTTTAGTTCAAAAACTCCTTTGCAGGCTAATGGTTTGGGAAAGAGAAAGGTTAAACTCTGATAAACTATTGCATAAGAGTTTACAAAAGTGTCATTCCACATAGGATTCTGAGATCATAGTTCATAGTCACAATGATGAGGATGAATATTCATTTCCAAACACAGTTGAGGTTTATAAAACCAACAATGTAGTAAAGCTTATAACAGGCTTAGCCAGAGTCTCACAAACATTTAAACTTTGGTGAAGACTGTTTCTGTAAATACAGATTTTTTCCATTTCAATTTTGAAAAATGTTCAGTGATTGTTTGGGATATTGTTTCTTTGTCCAAGATTTATAAAAGACATGCAGTGCATACATGTAAAAAATGAGCCTAGCTAAATATTTTTTCAAAATTATAAAATCACACATATTTTATAGGAGCATTTTAAGAAATGCTTTTACTATTTTATGTCTAAAAATATTCCACCTTTATTATTATTAGTTCACGTTTAATAAAGTAGCCAGTATTAAGATTTTGGTACGTTGAAAGATGCCACATTTAGCCCCAGAACTGAAAGGGTCTTACCAGATCATTTAGTCTAGTCTTACCTCCTCCTTCTACTGATGAGTGGAGGACTATAGAAGAGAAGTGCCATGCTCAAGATGGCATAACTAGTTAGTACTGGTATTAGAAGAACACTCTGGCTCTCATTTCAACATTACCATTTAAAGTAGAAATGACTATATGATGAACCAACCATTGCACCTTGCAGGCACATTTCCAGCATTGATGAATTTGTTCAATGGCAAATCTTTATCAAATGCTTATTATTACCTAAACATTACACTAAATACCGGAGGTGCAACAGCAAGCAACTCTGAAACAGCCCATGCCTTAATGGAGCTAGAAAGAATAACTGATATTAAATAAATGCTTAGACAGAATTATGAATTATGGTTAGGTTGAGTGCTGAGAAAGAAAAATACAGAATGTCAAAAGAACATTGAACAAAGGTGTTTAACATAGTCTGGAGAATCAAAATAGCTTCTCTAAGGAAGTAATACTTTAAGTAAGAATTATCCAGGTGGAAAGGTTATAAAGAACATTCCAGAAAAAAGAACACTGATTATTATGGCTCTGAGGTAGAAAAGAAGATAACATTTCAAGAAACTCAAAAAAGGCCAAGGTGGCAGCACTATTGAGTGAGGGTGGAGTAGCATAAGAAGAGGCCAGAGAAGGGTAGAGTCTTAATAGGTCACATTAATCATTTTAGACTTTAACCCTCAAAAAAGAAGGATCTAGAAAAAGCAATGAACTAAAACTAAGACACCTAGAATCTTTCCCATGCTTTACCACTAACTCATTGACCAATCTTTTAAATGAATTAAGAAAGTCCTTAAATGAAGATTAAGAAAGTCCTATGAAGAGCTCACAAATCCATAAATATATACCTCTAATACTGTTTCTAGAGTTCTGTGTCCTGAGACTAGCCTTAAAGAAAAACCTATCTTGCATTCGGATCCTAGTGATACTTTAATAACTAGGCCTACTTACATTCAACACAAATAATAGGTCTACCAAATTCAGCCTTATGGTGAAATTCTTGAGTGTCTTGGACTATATACACCAGTCTATGGTCAGGACCTAAAAAATGTACTCTGTCAGTCATTTTATAACACTACAGCACTTGGGAAGAGAGGCCTACTTTAACCCCAGTGCAGTCAAATTCGTGTCCAATTATAATGAGTAGTGTTACAGTGCACCTAATACTTAACATAATGTGAAATATACAGATATATATATATATATAATACCTGCTTTCTATGATAAAATGATGTAAGATCTCCAATGGACAGCCCCATAGAAAAAAAAGGTGCAAGGCCTGTATTCTCATAATCACACGATTTTCACATAACCACATAACCACTCATCCAGCCATTCAATCATCACCCTCATTCATTCATATGTTCATTCAACAAACATACATTGTACACTCAGGTTCTGTGTCAGGTATTTTACATTTATTATTATTATTTTTTTAAAGATTTTATTTATCCATTTAATTGACAGAGAGAGAGAGAGCGAGAGAGGGAACGCAAGCAGGGGGAGTGGGAGAGGGAGAAGCAGGCCTCCCGCC